GTCCGCCACAAATATTGAAGTCGTAATATCACTAGAAAAGCGTTTAAAGCACATAAAATCATATTAAAACATATACATTTACAAGTATGTACTGTATTTACAGTACATGCATTCGTAAATTTAGATTACTTTTTTCCGTACTCTATTAAAAACTAAAATTTATTTGTTTGTAAGCTTAAAATAGATTCTTATTAACCATATATTATTAAAAATGCATTAATAAATAAAATACAGAACCGGAAATGGTAATTTATGGTTTAGCCTAGTGACAAGTAGATTCGGAGACAAGTAAATTCGACTTACGTCGCTTTCCTGGAACCAATTACCGACGTAAGGCGAGGTATACCTGTATATGATATAGTTACATTAATAAAATCTATGCAATACCATTCGTATAATTCAATAATTTTCAATAAATAAAACTTACAAACAAATATTCTTGCATTTTTATGTCAATTGTATTATAATCTAGATATTCTACAGTTGTGTTTCTACAATTCTAGAGAACAAATTAAATCAATATATATCTCACATTCTTCTGGACAATATTATTGCTTTCAACTTTGTCTATTGTCAATTATTGATATAAATGAGGAATGAAGATTTCATTTCTTACTCTTCATCCCATATAATCATTCTTGACAGTTGCAAAATATTGAAAATAAATTCCTTGACTCCGTTATTCTAAAGCTTACTCATATATCAGGAAAATGATTAGAGACCATATTTGATTTATCAAAAGAAACACCCACCTTCACTTGACGACGACTTCTAGAATTAAGTGGCAATTTAATATCCAAATAACCGGATTTTCTCTTGACTTTTTTATCATCGTCGACATTATTTTGAGATTGCATTTTGTCAATATATAATTTATTTTAAAATCTGTCCGAAAAGCGAATTCTAAAGATCTGTTTATCTTTCGAGTGTACTCTTATCAATATTATCTTTACCTTGGACATTGTTCACTTTGAATTACATTTAAATCAAACATGTCAACATTCCGTACATTCAGCTATTGCCTTAGTGACAATTAATTTAATGTAATTGTTTTATATTTACTTTCATTTATGATTTTGCAACACCTTTTTCGAAAGACTTCATTAAATACTGATGATATCTATGAGGTAGGCCAGAGAGGGGGAATCAGTAAAGCCATTTGGCGCGGTCTCATAAACAGAACTTTAAAATTTCGTTTTTGTGTAAAAACATAATATTAAAGTGTTTAAATTCTATTTTTATTTGCTTTACTGATTTATTCTTGCATTTTTATGGTTTTTAGAAACGGGTGAGGCCTGCGCTTGTTCCTAGTCATTAACACCAGGAAAGTGTTTTAAAAATTAAAAATTTATAACTGTAATTCTTAAAAATTATTCTAAGAAATGCTAAACAAAATGCAAAATTTAATAGATATTAACGTCTATTGTTAAAATAAAAACAATATTTTAGTTTATTCAAAACAATTCGTTAAAAGACTTTTTTATAATTATTCATAAGGGACTTCGACAGCACTAGGTGCAAAAAGAATAAATATCTGGTGCTTAGTAGAAATGAATCGTCACTGTAATTAGCGTCACTACCTCATGCTCCCTCTCTTCCGCAGAAGTATTTAATTACATTATTCGTATATAGTGTATATCATAGGCATAAAAACTGGTTTATGCATATTTATTGTGATCTCAAATATACGTATCTACGAAATATTATTAATTATGAAGACTATTATGTACTGACTTAGTTTTCATTATTTTAAAAATTTCGCCAAAATCTTTAAAGATATTAATCTTTCAAATACTTCCAAATAATAAATATTATCGATGAAAGTTTAACTTTACACGAATGTATCAAAAGTTTTGCAATAATTAATGATTTAATTCTGAATCGGTATGTATATTTTTCAGAATTATATTCTTAGAACTTCGCTATAAATAAAATATTAAAGGTTGATAATAAAAATTAAATAACATTTTTTTAGTAATTAACGAACTTAATTGAAATTTAATTCATTTTTTAAATTTGAAAAATTAGTAAAATTAAAATTACATTAATCGTTGTGCCAGAAAATACTCTGAGAAAGACATTAAATGTCTTTTCCAGAGTACTTTCTGGTACAACGATTAATGCAATGAGTTTATTATAAAAAATATTACAAATTTTGTAATAGTTTTGATTATAAACTCGTTGACAAAACGTTACTCACCAAGAAGGAAGTGTGGGAATCAAATTAAACTTTATTAATGTGAACGTAATAACGATGGTAATAAGTGTTTACAATGTTATAGTAAAAGGCAGCTACAATATAAGCAAAGGACAATTTCTTGTGCAAAGACAATACAATTTAAAGGAACCTGTACTATCTTCTAGGAGCTTCTCCTGCATGGATACATAAGACTGAACGGTCGCCACCAGTCCCGTAGCTAAGAAGGACATTTAGGGACCTTGCTCCCTCAAAAGTTTTCTGTGCACTTGGTATATCAATGTATCAAAGAATATGACTAATTGTTTTATTTGGCCCACTAGCGCCCGATTGATTAAAATCACCGAACACTGGTAGTGCGCCTCGCCAACGAGCTGGCCACGGGAAGTTTTTCGGGTTTTCTTCACGTTTGTAACACCTAAATAAAACACAGCTTTCCTTAGAAAGCCCACTCGTTGGCATTCCCTCTTCGGTAGATCGTTCACCTGTCGAGTTGCTGTACACAAATAAACCAAAACTAATTTTTTATTTATTTAAATTAAAACTTTAAAAATCCGTGTCTATTTTCACTTTAAACTACTTGATGTCGACTATGCACTTGACCAGGCATCCCTAATGTTGAAAGTTGCTCCCTCACTAAAAAATACTGACTACGGGATTGTCTCCGCATGTATACATGCAGGAGGACGCCTGTTGCAGAATAGCATATAGACGCCGTGTGCCATTCTACAATCAAGGTCGCCAAATTGAAATCCATAATTCGGGACATTATAATCGAGACAGCATTGTGATAAAGATTAATGGATACCCAGTGGCGTGTTATACTATGGGCAAAAAGAGTAATTGCCTAGGGCCCAAACCAATCTTTTATAAACTCATTACTGTAGTAAGAATATCGAAATTTAAATTTGGGCCATATCTGGGAACTCTAGATTGGCTGTGTGATGCAGATGCGGGGTGCATTTGGCATAGCATAGAGATCGCGTTAAAATACGAACGAGAATACCGGAAAAGTCCCCCAAGAAAAAATGCTTAACGTCAACAATGTCAACAATGTATGCCCTTAATTCAAATTTGCCTGGGCTCCCATGAAGCTATAACGTTCCACTATGTGTACCTACATTAATCTTACCCATTTTTGGTTTCTTAAGATCCACAATGTGGGCTGCCGGACTGTATGGAACGGGACTTGACATATCAAGTACAGACGTCCCTGGGTTCCCCAAAAGCCCCAATTCGATGTCAGAACGGTAGACTGAAGTCTTAATTAATAAAGACGTAAACAGGCGAAGAAAGCTCATGCATTCACGACATTTGAAAACTTTTTCCGCTTACAATTTTTATATGGTTTTCGTAAACGAACTAAAATATTTTCGGGTAGAAATAGAGAAATCGGGACATTACAGGAAAATTTCTCCGTGATGAATTGTTTCAAATCGAAGAAATCCCAACAAATCCGGCCGTATGGCAACTGTATCTGCCACAGATTTTCCTACAGATATTTCATATTCGTAGATTAGTACATTCGAAGCTAGTGTCTGATCGTCAAATCGAGAAACAAGTAGTTATGGCAACGTAACGGAACCATTGCTAGGAAACATTAGCTGAGCATTATCGTTTTGGAAAATGGATGTTTGTAGTCCTGCCAGGAAAATCAACACACAATTGCATAGGATTTCCTGAAACGGATTTCTGCTTTCCGTGAATGTCCCTGCACCTCAGGATACCGGTGTAGCGATTTCAAGGCACTCTGTGGCATTACTTGGGCCATGTTCAGCAATGAAGAATCCTGACAAAGTCAGGCTGTGCCACGATATTGGACGATATTCTTAGTAATTTTGATCACCCACTGTAAGAATTCTTACTCAGACTACTTTTAGTAGATTTATTGTGCTATGTGACGTCACTCCATCTCTTCGTGTTTGTTTTGAAGAACGCTTACGAATGTAATGGCTGCTCGTGTTAGATTAAATAACTTTCTTTTAATATATAAAGAAGTTACTATTTTAGTCTTAATTTATTATATTTATTTAATTATTAAATTATTTAATTATTAATTATTTAATTAATTATTTTTTAAGTTCGTCCATCAGTTTTCCTATTTTTCTGGCAAAGAATAAAGTGTGAGAAACTAAGAATGATTATAATATTTTTAGTTTCGCCAGAGTCGGTAGATTAACTGGTCTTTTGACTTCCTATCTTCGCTCGTTGCTAAAATCAACTAGAGACAAATGTTACCACCAGGGGCACTGCAATCACTGCAAGAGCGCTAGATCGAATCGCTGTGAGGACGAATGTTTTCTTTTTATTGAAAGACATAAAATCTTCGAGTTCGATTTCATAATTTTTTATATGCATTTTATTATAAGAATGAAAAAGCTTTTATTTAAACCCAAAACCAGGTTTATGGATAAATAAATGACACTTAATAAAACATTAAACACCTTCCATCGCTGAGAAATGTTTATTTAATAAAACACTAACATTTTCAGCCTCATGGAATAAACTATCCTCAGGTGTAAATGAGTTCGAACGTATTTTATTAAATAAACATTTCTCAGCGATGGAAGGTGTTTAATGCTTTATTAAGTGTTTTAAAAACGCTGAGTTTTATATTTAGTTAAATAAATGACAAGGAACAAAACTGACACAATAGTATTATTATTATTAAATTGTGCTATTATGTGAATTTATTATACGTTAAAAATTTATTGTACATACAAACAAATTATATTATACATATTAATAATAATTATTATTATTATTATTTGCGTTATTAAAATTTACTTTAAGTGAGAAATTTTTCTATGGTTTTTACTTTCAACTGATGAAATAAATGATTGATTAATCGTTCGCGTGAAAAAATGCAATCGACAAGTAACAAAAAAGTGCAAAAATCTGGAAGTCAAGTAGGACTTGTGACCAGCATTGTCACATCCTATCATCAATGTAACAGAGCACTGATTTAATATATTATCCATTATTGAAAAATAAACATCCATGTTTGGGTTTGTTAATTTTTCGCATACTTTGCTTTCTGCCCAGTACATCAATTGGCAAAGCTTATAGCTTGGATATAACAAACCTCCTCGAGATTTGATGAATGTAAATGTCTTCTCTGGTGCAGCATCCTCAGGTTTTGCTGTTAATATATTTTTGCATTCATCACAACCGAGTGATGGCAGTAGACGATAAATAATATAACCTCCTAAATAATGTAGGATAAACTTAAATGTTTCTGGTGTACAATAATCATGATCTAATAATTCACTATCACTAGGATCTCCATAGTATAAACTTGGATCACAAAGCAAATTTTCTAAATGTTCTTCCAATTGTTCTTGAACTTCTCTGAATGGTTTTTTATGACTATGAAGAAGATTTTTTAAAGTAATAAGCATAGATCCTGGATCAGTTTGAACTGATGCTCGTTTGGGAGGACGAACCAAACTGTAAACAGTCATCAGTCTGTACAGGTATAAGAACTGTACTGTTGTGGGATGAGAATTGCTTCCACTTCCTTGTCTTATCATT